CCCCCATCCTCACGCCCACGTCGGGACCCGGCGCCCTCCGTGTCCGTCCGACCCTTAAACCCCCCAAAGCCGCGTGGGCCGAATCACCTGGCAGTGGCAATAGTGTAGTAGTATAGTCGGCGCGCGGGGCGGTGCGAGGCAAGGTGCGAGGGAGACGGCGCCAGCCAACCTCGGCAGGTAGTAACGTGTGGGTGGGTGGGTGCGGGGGAGCTCACCCACTCTCGCACTGACACCTCCTACCCTGCCGTGAAGGTAGGTGTGCGATGCGTGAGTTTGTGTGTGTGTTACTGGGAGGCGCTGCTGCGGTTGGCACACACTGGCAGCTGGCAGCACCGTCAAAGCCACGGTGTCGACGTGGAGCCGCTCCAAAGCATCGACACGTGAGGCTCATGTGAGCAGTTTCAAACATTTCAAACCTCGGCGAGGAGTAACACCTCTCGCGCCACGCCGCGCCACGCCTCGTTCGCTCGGCTTTACGCAGAACGGCCTAATAAGTGGGAAACTTTTCGCATTCCTGTCGCGCCCCGCTTCGTCGTGGCGAGAGCCTCTTTAGAGAGAGAGAGGGGGGGGGGGGTAAGGGCTGTAATCTTAAACTTCATATCAACAAAGTTTAATCATCGCTTGCCCTCGATCGACACCTTCAACACCTCACCACTACATAGTTACCGCCAACGTCGTCGTATATCGTACAAAACGCTGATATCGACATCATCACCCGTCGTCACGCACACCCGTCAACATCACTGACGTCGACGAGCGGGCTCCCGGAAGGTAGGCAGGGCGGTCGGCCCGCAGCGCACACACGGGTCTGCCAACCAGGCGCCCACCCTTTGAGGTCTTAGAGGGCAGTGTCACCAACCAACACCGTCATCAGTATCGTCACAATGTCGATTGAATACTTTTGAATAAAACCATTTTGATGAAATTAGTGCGGTCTGGTAATCCACATAAATTATAAATAATTTGGAAAATCCGCATCGTCTACCGATCGTCCATATGGTCATGGTGCAGCACACTTTGAAGAGGACACCACCGAGAGTGGCCGAGTCTCACCCGACGGCGAAATCGCCTGGCCGTTTAGGTCTTCCCTTCACTGCGCTCAGCTGATGAAAGCGGCGCGCAGTGGCGCTCGGCCTTGTTCCGTCGTGGCCTCTACTAAAAGGTCGCTTGCGTGTTTCCGGAGGGAGCAGTCACTGTGGTGATATTGGGTGTGTGGGGACACTGGGAATTGTGCGTGCGTGTGTGTGTGTGTGAAAGAAATAGATAGAGAGCGAGAGAGAAAGAGAGCATGCTGGGGGATGGCAGTTTCTTGACAGTGCAACGTTGAGACAGCACGCGTTGGAGCGGTGACGCCAGACCACCACCACCACTACCCCCCCC